AAAGTTGAGATTGCAATGGTAAGAATTATACACAATAAATATGTCAACATTTAATAGATGAAAGTCACACATTCCAATACTAAATCCATACATTAGCAAAAGATCAAACCGATAGTTAAATCTCTATCCTGATAGTTTTCAAGAATCGAATTCGACAGTTGAAATGTCTAACTCGACAATTTCTAAATGTCGAATTCGACAGTTGAGTTGTCGGAACTAGTCGGAAGTATATACATGGGTGATATGGAACATATTCTTCATCACATTAAGTATGTCATCAATATTGTACTACCGAATGACAAAATCTTTTTTCCAAATAATATGCACGGCAAAATCATTGAAAAGACAATCATTCACAACATTTATTGGGTTTGATTAGGAAGAAATTATTTAAACATTAATGGTGATAATCAATTATCAACTACAATATGATAACATTTTCTCAATAAATAACTCAATGTTTCATTAAATATGTCATTATTCACAACATTTTTGGAGAAGATGTTAATATCTTTATTCCAAAATATTTGAAGCCCCTATTTGATTCCCATTTTTTGAAAAAATAAAAATAAAAAAATTGTTAAACAGTGTTTTGACATTCTTTCAACTACACATTCTTCAATAAAATAATATTACACGCAAATTCAAATTTTTTTCTTATTTTTTAACCATACATTTCCATCAATATACTATTCAAAGAGTTGTTCCTATCAAAAGAATGAGGCTCAAACAAGGGCGAAATACCAAATAAAACAATGAATAATAATTTTGAAAATTTCAAATAAATATGAACATGTTGCATTTAACATTTTAAAAGTAATAAGTTATAAGGTTAAAATATAAACAATTTATAATATGTTAATATCTCAAAATGGATGGTAAATCTAATAGTAATGTCTTCTCGATGAAGGAATGGATAAAATGATTAGAAAATTAGGATTTGTAAATGTTAGAAAAAAAATTAGTTTATGCCCACTTTTCAAAATCTTTTTTCTTTTTTTTTTATTAATAAAATTCATATTACCCAATATAATACTCACTCTGTTCCATTTATATAGGTTTGTTTTGTTTTCACACGGATTAAGAAATCTTATTTAATGTAATTGAAAAAGTCATTTTTGCCACAAAATTTCATAGTTTACTCCATTTAATTTTCAACAACTAGTAGTAAATTATTATTGGAATTAGTAAGGAATTTAAATTTTGATTTCAAGAAGTAGGCAAATTATTAGGAAATGTGCATGCATTTGGATGATTTCAAGAAGTAAGCAAATTAAGTGAGAACATTTGATTGTAACTAGACAAATTAAATAAGGGTATATTAGTAAGGGAGCAAAACCAAAATATTCTAAATTAAGAAACAAAACTATATATTTGAGACAAGAATAAAAGGAAACTAAGCCTATATAAATGGGACGAAGGAGTATACATATATCTAATGTTTATGGTAAAAAAATTAAATCATCACATTATAACATTAACGACATTCAAGTCAAGCATTAAATGCTCCTAAAAAGGTGTCACTAATAGTAAATTGGACATTTTACACTAAAAAAATGATATTTTTAGTACCACTTGTAAATTTTCAAGAAATTCATTTGTAAATATGAAAGGCATATTGAAATTGGTTTATAAAAAAAAATATTTTGTTTATGAAGAATAAAGTTCTACTTTTATTAGTGAGTCATTCATCTACATTAACGAAATATTGTTATTAAACAATATTTCGTATGAAAAAACAATATTTCGTATGAAGATGAAACTTGATGTTTGTGTGTTCAAATTATGACTTTGTTTTGTTTGTTAGTTTGGACTTTTTTGAATGATTTTTTTTACAAAAGATTTCTTTTGATGATTGATAATTTGAGGTTGAATTTGTTTGATATTTATTTTTTAGATTTGGACACATGTTACTAATTTATGAATATAGTGATAGATTTTAATGTGCACTTATATCTGAAAATTTAAGCAATATAATCAGAATTAAATCAAATCAAATCAGAATTGAATGGTTCGGTTTTGGTTTGGTCTCATATCTTTAAAAAAAAAAATCATTAGTTCCATTATCAAAAAATTATTGGGTTATGGTTTGATTCAGTTCGCTTAGATCCAGGATTAAATGAAATCCTGTCAATCTCTAATGACGAAGTTAAAACACAAAATTCACAAAAATTTAATTATGCATTCCATTTGATCAAACTCTAAAATTAAGTATGCATTCTATGTCCAGTTACAATTTATGAATATAACTCATTTTATTCTTAAATTTAGTGTTCTCAAAAATATAAAAGTGTTGCAAGGTAATGAGATCAAGTTTCAAGTTTATGTTGATACAAGCAAAATTTTATGTATTAAAAAAATACAAAGCATGATAAGACAACAATATCAAACTTAATTGAAATTTAGATTAGCTTTTCAGAATAATGATTGATATAATAACACCATTTTTATATATTTTTTAAGAAAATCTCCTTTCTACTAAAATTTCTTTATTAACAATAAATCAAAACTAACCTAAAATAAAAATTTTAGTAGTTTTTGATAAAAGTAGATAAAATGTGTGCTTCAATATTGATAAATTAAAAAAATAAGGTCCAGCATATATTTATGAGGTTAAATCTATTAATGTTCGCTCAATTTTATATTTAGTGTCACTATTATCACTCTATTTGATTTTATTTGACCATAGAATTTCATATAATGTTTCACCATGATCATCCAACTTATTTTCATTTTTTTTTACTAATTTTAAAAATAGTAAAATGGTAATTTTTGGATTATAAATATATAAATTTTTTTTTTGTTAAAATAAATTTTTATTTTATTTTGAAATCCCATTTTTCTAAAATAACTTTTTATTTTTCTAAGTAATGTTTTTATTTTAAATAACTTTTATTTTATTTTAAAAATGTTTGTTTAAATAAGATTTTATTTTGTTTTAAAAATGTTGTTTTCTGAAAATAATTTTTTATTTTAATTTTTTTTTATATATAATGTGAAGTTACTGTTTTACCCATTTTAAAATTAGTAAAAATGATGAAAAGAAGTTGAGTGATCATGATAAAATGTAATATGGTTTTGGGCGATGATACCGACATTAAGTATAAAGTTGAATGATCATGATGAAATAAAATCAAATTAAAAGATACACAAATATAAAAGTGGGTGGTGGTTGGTGAATTTAACCATGTATTTATACTTAACCCCAATCCGACCTCACTCTACCCATTCGAGCTCCGCTTTCATTTTTTGGCATCATCCCCCTCCATGAAGCACATGCACGGATGCACTCTGCCATTTCCGTTCTTTTTCTAATTTTTTTCTTCTCTCTCTCTATATATACAAACATAAAAAAAGTGAGGAGAGCTGCTGCTCCCCTCACACGGAGCTGCTGCATCATGTGACAACTCTGTGTCACACGGAGTAGTTTGTGCGCAGCTGCTGCTCCGTGAGCGCAGCAGTTGGCATGGAGCTAAAAATGATTTTTTTTTATCATTTTCACTAAGTTTGTTCCCTCCATAATCGTGTAAAATACTCTTCTAGTCCAACAACACACTAATAACTATGAATACTTTCTTCTTGTTCATCACCCAATAATTCAAAAAATCTCCACCATCCTCACATCGGATCTATGTCCTCTCATTAACTCTCTGCTTTTTTCTTACCTTTATTGACTAATTTCTAGTTCCAATATTCAAGATTCACTAATTCAAACTCAAAACAAATATTCTTTAAAAAAATAAGATTAATTCTTTAATTCAACATTAACTCCAATGAATCAACACACAAAAGAATATATAAGATAAAAATGCTGAGATTCAGAAGTAACCCAAAAAATTTCAAATTTTATACCCTGGCCTTTAAATCAAATCAACGTTCCAAAGCCACTTTTCCATCTATATATAGTTCACCCATACAGAAAAATGCATAATATTCGCATGAAAAGTCAGAAAAATTAGGATTTCTACCTGCAATTGGCTGCAATGGAGGCAATACCAGTGAACCTCTCACACGAGAGCACCAGAACTTCAAAATTTTTGAACGACTTGGAGATCAGCTCCAAGGTCTCATTTGATTTCGGCCGAAATTGGAAATATGGGTTCGTGCTGATTGTGGAGTGGGATGATGTCTGGTAGTTGCGTGGAATAAAAAAAACCCAAAAGTGGAGGACGATTTGAAATTACGTCGCGTGTCCGGCAAAAACTTTCACTCTTATATATGTAGAATTAGTAAAAGTGACAAATTTTATTGTACTTTTTAAATTTAGCCCCCGTTTGGCCCTCATTATTTGAATTTATAATGGAGGATAGTGTTTTTTTGAAAATTGTGTGGTTGAAAAGTTTTCATTTTCAGTGTAATATTATTTTATTGAGAATTGTATGGTTGAAAGTAGGAGAGAGAAAAAATTAAATTAAATTGAAGAGCTTTAAAGAGGGTCAAACGGAGGCTTAGCGATATTTATGAAAAATTCCTTTAATTTATTTTGTAGACATCATTGAGCTGTACAAAATATTTCATGCAGACCACAAATTCAACTTATCTTAGGATGGTAGAAAGACTATCCAAGGCAAGGATTGAGAATATGATCATGTTCCAATTTTTCCAAACATGCTCTAAATCATTATATTTTATTTTTATATTTGTAAATTAATTTTTATTTAAAACTATTTTAAAAATAAATTGAAAAAATGTTTTTTTTAAATCTTACGACTTGGTACACGATAGTGGATTTCAAATTGACCCCCTATTCGGTATAAATTATTTAAAATTTATTTTTTAAGTGTACTTTTTCATTATAAAATAATTTTAAACATAAATCTATATTTCTTTTCCTAATTTATAACCATACATTCTTAAACAATTGCTTTTCATAAATTTTATTTTCAAAAAATCTTCATCATTAAGAAGAACGTCCCCTTTTTTGCCTCCTTAAATTGAGTTGTAAAGTTTAATGACGAGGGCATTAATGAAATTAAATCCGAGGTTAAAAGGCAAAAGTAAATAAAGCAGACAGTTTTGCTTTTTGCCGTCTGCTTTTGGCGCTCCCCGAGGCTGACCTCGCATTTCTCGTTTTTCTTGTTCACACTCACACCCCGAAGACTTCTCTCTGGGTGCTTGTGCGTGTACGTGTGGAATTTTTGAATGGAGTTTTCAAATCCTCTCCTCGTAAAGTATCGAAACGATCGCCGGAAGCTTCTTGAGTTTCTACTATCGTCGGGCTCGATCAAAGAAATCAAAACTCCGGCCGGCCTCACTACCTCAATTTCGAACATCGATTTCGATTCTCTCAGTATTGATTACGTACTTGAATGCATTAAGTCCGGTAATTTAATTTATTTGTGAAGTTGTTATTTAATTTTGATTTTAAAGTAGCAGCTAAATATTGTGCTAATGAATTGAATTTTTGTTCATCTCTTGCATTGCCGGTCTCACCTACTTAATTTCTAACATTCATTTCGATTCTCTTAGTATGATCACATCCTGTAATTTAATTTTGTGTGAAGTTATTGTGAAGTTGTGATTCTAAACTAGCAAGCTCAATAGGTGTAAAAATTTTGTTTAGCACGATTAAGATTGTTTAGATGTTACTGGGTTGACTCTTTTCTGGAAATTTATCGTTTTCCTTTTTTGGATTTATTTTTGAATATTCAATGTCCTTTTAGTTGGTGGGTTCGCTTTCTAAATTTATATATTCAGTCATACGGAGCGGTTAAGTAAGCGTATGTGGGTGCCCATTAGTATTTATCAATTTGCTTGCTGTTTTCCATCATTTTGGCGGCTTTAAATGATCTTTTGTGACTGATTAGGTGGTTTGCTTGATGTTTCCCAAGCATGGAAGGGATGTTATAACGAATCTTCACTTCCGGCCATGGTAAGTTATATAGGAAAAGAATGTTTCTGGAATTTTTCCCTCGAGTGTATTATGATTGTTTAATTGAGCTTAAATTGATATATTAAGTTCACTTGGTTTCCTGTAATTTCTAGTCCCTATTTTGATTATTCACTGTGATATATATGCACATTGTCCATAATTTTGTATTTATGCGATAGTCATACAGTCTATCAAATGATATATGCTACAACATAGACTCTGTTTGGATACAAATTTATAAATGGATTATAAATTCAGTCGAAGTCAACATTAATTTCAACCAAACATTCATAACTATTGCTCGTTATAATATATTTTGTGGGATTTATTACTATTTCTCTTTATAAACCATTTAAAAATTTGCCAAACTAAGCCATAGTATCGGTGAAGCATACCGTTTACAGTTGATTACTACAATAGATTCCTAACTAATGTTTATCTGGTATATATATTTGAAGGTAGTGAGTGTTAAGTGGAAAATTAACATTAAAGATGCCATAACAAGTTGCTAATGGCCGAGCATTGACATCAGTCGTTTATTGAGGTTCCATTTTGGAAGATAGGATTGAGAAGAGAAATCTCCAATGCTTTATACCCGTCAAAAATTGCAATGCCTGATCATAAATCATGTCGAGTCATTATGTTATATTTTAATATCTAACCATCTAAAAACTCTCGCGAAAAGTTTTAACTCCATTATGCAAAGTCTTTTGTCCTATAGGTTTTGGATCACCATATTGTCTATAACCACTTTCGTATACATGCTTTAGATTTGATTTCTATTCCTCTAGGATATTCCCAATATCTCTTAGGTAGGTGTGAGAATTTGTTTGCTGCAGAAGAGAAAGGTTTTTTTTATTTGAAGATATGCCAATAAGGTTCCTTTTGTTTGATATGCATAAAGTAGGAGGTGATTTGTAGTTAAAATTTAGAGCTGAACGAGAGTCTTGGAGTAGTTCAGCCTTTGAAAAGGAGGATAAATCTCTTAACTTTCAAAGTGAATTGGATATTTCTTGCAATGACTAGAGCTGACTTCCCTTCATATTTCTATATCATACGAGCAAGGGAATCTGCAGAGCATGTGCTTAATTTTCAAGAAAATCAGGTTTTTGCTTACTCAGATACCAGGATTTTTGAGGTCCATATTAAAATGCCGACCTCACTTATTGAGTAGCCCATGTCATATATGTGGATTATCTATTTTCTACAATTGATGTGGGATTTATTTCTTAACATACTTCTGCAAGTTGGTTGGTGATTTGAGAGCAATAATCGTGAAATTGAATTGCTTGCTTGAGCTTGAGACAAATTGAATTTCTTGTTTGAGTTTGTTTGACTTTCATACCATGTTGAATCACTTGATCTAAAAGCTTAAGTCGTAGTTAACCTCATGTATCTAATATAAATATTGTCTTCAACATCTATATGCTTAAAAGATTCTCTTTTGAAGTTTCAAACATTATGCCTTTTAGATGCATTTGATCCTTTTTCCAAAAGAACACCCCCCCCCCCCCCCCCCAAAAAGAGGGGGGG